GCGCCCTGCGCGCAGAGCGCTGAGAAAGAAACCCGCCCCGAGATGCACCTGCAGCCCCGCGCCCGTCAGTGCATGGCTGCTGCTGTGCCTGCCCGCGAGCGGGGACCGGCGGCCGCCGACTCCGTCCACATCGCCAGGCCAGGTGACCCCTGCCTTTGCGAGCGTGCACACTGGGATCCTCGCACTGTTCTCAGGCACGGCGCTGCTCGCGTCTCTGTGCCAGGCGTGCGCAGGGGGAAGGGCAACTAAAGTGACAGCGCCTGGACCCCTCCCCATCTCCTCGATTCCTCCCAGCCCCCAAATGTCCCCTACGGGTTTCTGAAGGAGGAAAAGGGGAGGGGGCCGGCCCCCGCCTAAAATCAGGGGCAGTGAAGGCCCTGTCGGAATCACTGCTCGGGAGGTAAAGGGAGGGGCGTGCAGGGAGTCAGTCATCTTTTCTAGAACCCGATCCACATCTTCCTTAGGGCTGATGGCGAACAGCGGCAGGGACAGCGGATTTCAGGTTCGGTTTCGGGGGTCGTTATCGGACCCCTCCCCCCCACGCACGCCCATTGCGGCAAAAGACTGCGGTCGAGAGTGAAGGGCAGCCCCCTCCCCCAAGTCACCGCCGCCGCGCCCCACCCTGCCGGCATGGCCTCCACCTGGGGTCGGCGCGAAGCGGGTAAAGACCCTCCAGCACACACACACGCGCGCACTCAGGCGTGCGTGCATCCCTTGCTCACGTCCCTTTCCAGGCCGCCCTGGCCCCAGCCCCCGAGCAGGGGAGGCAGGGAGGGGCCCTGCGGTCGCCCCGACCGATGCCCGGCGCACGAAGCCCCAGTCTGTGGAGGCTGAGGGCGAGGGTCGGCGGCGCAGGGGTGCACAGGGGCGGACGGCGAGGCAGATTTCGGAGCCGCGGCGCTTACCTGATAGTCGACAGAGGCGAGGACGGGAGAGGACAGCGGAGGAGGAGAAGGTGGCTGTGGTGGCGGCGGCAGAAGGTGGGCGGTGGCAGCGGCGCTGCTGTTGGTGCCGGAGCTGGTGGGTGGCGGTGACTGCGAGGGCGCGCGCCGGCGAAGAGGGCGCGTTCCCGAGGCCGGCAGGCGGCGCAGGCGCGAGCAGCGGGAGCGCGAGCCTCGCGCCCTGCGCGCAGAGCGCTGAGAAAGAAACCCGCCCCGAGATGCACCTGCAGCCCCGCGCCCGTCAGTGCATGGCTGCTGCTGTGCCTGCCCG